AGTGTGATTGGGTGCATTTTTCAAAAGAACAATTCGGGCATTAAAGAGTTAAATACTAGAAATTGTGAGTCCATAATTTTTACCGCCTAATGTCTGTTCCTCCAAGCTCAAACTTATTTATTCCCTATAAGCCACCTTTTTAAAATGCTCGAAACCATTCATCCCTTGAAGTTACAGTTGTCAGGAGTTAATATGAGATTTTGTTTATTTAAACAGAAAAAATACTCATATTTTAGGTCCAGTTTAAAATCTATTGAACAAAGTAGTAAGTCCACCCACTCCTGGCTTCATAAATAGAGGTGCATTTGTAACACCTCGTATGCGTCATGAATTTCAGCACTTACGCCCATCAATTTGATTTCATAAACTTCAAGGCTTTTGTTTATATTATCCCCTTTGTATTTGGGCTTGTGTAACCCTTCAGTTGACCTTCAGTTGTAAAGAAAGAGTCTGGAAGACCTTGCTCCATCACTATTACCATGCTCTGAGTCAGATTTTGAGAGCTTACGAGGAGGTAGACAAATTTCGCGTTAAACCAAGACGTTTTTAACCAAACAAAGTTTTCATATAGGAATATAAGCTGTCCAGAGGTCAAAACCCCACCAAAATGATTACAGATTTTATCCAAATAACTGTCAAGTTGTCAGTAACTGTATACAATTTTAAACTGACAAGAATAATAGTTTAATGAACTATCTTAAGCCCCGTGCTCTTTTGTTGCTATTTTTAATAAATTACAGTTCATATAACTTCAAACAACAAAAGTCCAAAAATATTAAATTAGAGTACACTAATTGAATAAATAGCAGCAGTTTGTCACAATTTCGTTATGGGAAAATAGATACAATTAAGATTATTGATAATATGTTAATAGCACAAATGAATTATCAAAGTCGAGTCAGTTGGCTTAATTGCCAGCTCCAAAAACTACGAAAATTTTTTCACTTTCGCTAACTTTCTGCAATGGGCAGCGCAACGCTTCTTTCCTTCTACTAGACGTGGACGTGTTTGAAAGGATCCGCCTATGGAGGTGGAAGTACCGGTGGAAGGATGAGAGTCTAGAGACGACACAAGCAGCGAGTCTCCTCGCAGTGTGTGGGAATTTCTGTCTCTAGAAAGGCTGTGTGACGAGTATGAAGAGTTGGAGAAGAGAAGAGTACAAGAATACCAAATAGATAGCAGTGCAAATCCATTGGAAATTGGCAGTAAACAATTGTCTTTGTCCTGATAAATATTTGTTATCGCTTGTCCTCTTGCCACATTTATGTATTTTAAAATGTATTTCTATATCTTTTAATGACTACATATTTGTTGCAAATTATAAACATTAAATCTTGAACTAAGATCTTCTTTTTAATAATTTGAATAGTTATGGGTGCAGGAATTAGGCATCAGAATCTAATTTCAGGAAATAGAACAAGGAGTTGTATTTATTACTAAATAATTGAATATAATGGCGATAAGATTTCACCAGATATTTTGATATTTCTACTTAGCTGCGGTAAGTAGAATTGAAGTATAAGATTTTATACCGTTTGGACCGTATTTCGTGAGAAATTCACTCAAATGAATTGATGCCATGTCACGGATATCTTGAGCTCGTTTTACCACTCAAATTTTGGTAGGAAAGATTAAACTCTAAGGCACAATAATGCTACTTTCATAGTAAAGGTGGGGGGGGGGCTCTTGTCCAAGATTCTATTTCCAACAACTAAATGGAAGTGCTTAAGAAGTAGAAAGGCATCCCCACTAGCAGCGTAAGAACAGAAGATCGAATCGGGTATTATCAACGACCCGAGTTCCGTAATACGCCAAACAGAATAAATTGGGCAGCATTTCAAAGCGCTGACAAAAATCAATGGGAAATCAGAGACGAGTGCGTGATTCCAACATAATTTAATAGATGCCAATATGTTTGAATATTTTTGTAGATTTAGCTTTTTACACCAAGGCCTTGTCATAGTAGTCACCTCGTGCTTAATGATTTCCTGAGTTAGTCCAGAAGCGGAGTCAAGGGGAGCATAGCATGTTCTTTTTACTTTTTCAAATTCTGCCTATTTTAGCACTCAAAACTTTTGGCGACTTTACCAAAAAACTGATTCAAATTGCCTTCGAAATTCGAGTTTACCCTCTATGATACACATCGAGAAGGTAGTTTGACGTGGTCATAGCTTTCTTTATTGTATCAAGGTACATTTAAGAGGAGAGTAGACAGATACAAGCAGAACGCAGAAACCGGGTTTCTAGACATCGTATGCTCTACGAGTTCAAATGCAGCGAGTGATTTCAAACCTGTTATGAGGGTTTTCGCCTTTCCTATTTCACTTGGCATGCCAATACGCCATCATTCTAGTCTTCGATTAACTTGTGACGGTTCATCTTAAGTCAACTTGATCAAACCGGATGTAGGCTAGCTTCTGCACTTGGACTGATTTAGGCTGATACAAATGAATTCAAACCTCCCCTTTAAATTGCAGCATCAATTACAAATTCTACTCTTTCCTTCATAGCTAATCGTAAAGTGGCTGCTCTCAAAATCCCCACAGATGAATAAGTTAAGAACTACTTGGCCCAACCGCAACCTTAACTTAAATTCTAATACTTAGGTGCAGAATTGAAATCCATCATCTGGTTGTTTCGATTCTCAAAAACTCTTCAACAAGACACCCCCAAATTGCAGGGCTGGAAATTCTTTATGCACTTTACAACAGGAGCTCTCATTTGTTGTAGTCAAAGCCTACTACCGTTCGACTGGAACTATATGTAATATGGAGCACTTCACAATAGTTTGCAGAAGCAAAATAAGACCCAATTGGTACTCAATGATTATGTGAAGAATACGTAAGTTGAAAAATCACTTTCGATGAAGAAAATTATTAAATAATTATTGGTAATTATATTTCACCCTGGCATACCTCTACCTCTTTATACGACACAAAAAACATAATTCAATTAATGTTATCACTGATAAATGTGATTTCAAAGAATGCATGATAGAACTTATGGTTGTTTTGAACATACAAGAAAATGATCCAACTTAGATGGTTTTACCACCTAAACCATTTAAGGAGGGGTGATTCGAAGCCATGATGGTTTTGAATTAAAACACATATTTCAGCTTGAAATTCTGCCAATTTTCAGTTTTATGAGCGTCCAAATATCGACATCTTACAAATTTTTGGGACTTATGAGTTATGGAATATAGGTTAAATATTTCAGTGAAAGTAATTAGTTGAAATATATGTGTTTTAACCTAATTAATCTCCCAAAATACCCTTAAATTACTCTAATAAAAAAAATTATGGCCCTCAACCACCTTGAAATTTGAAGTAGTTTAGCAAGAAATGTCAACTACTTGAAGAATTCACAACCAATTGTCAACTTGTTCAATCTTTCTTTTATTTTCCAACACCTCCGAACGGAAATAGTTCATCTGTACATTTGAGCATTGAATCCATCTGGAATCTTAGTCAAGATCCTCTAAATCGTCTGGAGTGTCAAAATGGTCAGTGACTGCACAAGGCCCGCAGAGCTTCGATACGCCACGATGGAAATTTCATATGTCCAGGCTGATCTTTAATTCATTCATTTACGGTTCAGGGAATGCATTTATTAGCGAAAAAGACGTTTGTGGTGGTATATCAAGATTTGAATACCAATAGGAAGCATCGGCCAGTGTCTAAACAACGAAAGATTAAGGAACGCTTCCATTGTGCCCCACCATTGGGCATCTTCATTCTGCTGTTAGCCTGCTCTGTCAGACAGTGGAAGCTAAGTTGAGGGTATTCAAAATGCCATCATATTTAATTTGAAATTGATTAAGGTTTTATAGAAATAAATGATCACTTTCATCAGATCGATGAAAGTTCTTGAGTTCATTTTCGTCCTTACCAATTGCTACTGGAAGCAGAAGAAAATTGAATTAGTGATATTCTGACTCTTAAAGTAATTAGTCCTATTTAAGTCTTACTCAAGGGAGGGGGTGGATGAATTTTAATTAGCTCCGGTAAGCGAACATATAATAAATAGTATATAAAATAAGAAAGTATTCCGAAGGTTGTAGCTTATTTTGACAATGTCCAATTTACATAAGTTGAAAGAATTTTATTCAGAAACAACTGATTTAATCTTTCTCTACTACAATTTCATTGCCAGGAGCCGGTGGAGTACAATAAATCCGAACGTAGTAATCTCATGCGAACTCAAATTGCCTGGAAGGTAAGTCGTTTCATTCATTGAGCAACTAGCAAGAGTGGTGCGAAGAGAGTAACCTAAATATCTATTTAGTTCATAACGGAATGCCATTCAGGTAAGTATATTTCCTTGTTCAACAAAGACCAAAATGAAACACTCGACTCTGTGAAACCCTATGCTACTCGGATTAATCCAGTATGTTTTCAAGTTTTGCTCATTGGGTTACTGAAAATCGAGTTTATCCCAGTGTATTTAATAATATTTTCTCGATCTTGCACTCAGATTCAACAATATTCACAAAATAGTGGAAGAAACTAGATTGCTATTTCAAATTCATTAACTCTTATTTAAAATAACTTTAAATTTTTATTTATTGTGGAAAGTTATTAATATAAGGAAATATTTGTTTTCATAACCTATTGCTCGCTATACAAATGACATTGTCAACACTAAAATCTGGTAGTTATTTAAAGTGAAAAATCATCACCGTCCACGCAGATAAATTATGGATACTGAAAAAGAAATAAAGTGTGTTATTAAACAACTCAACGATGAAATTATTGAAGAATATCGATGCGAATTGGAAAACTTTAAAGAGCCTTGGATTGACTTTTTGGTTTGATAAAAATTATGGAATAATGCATCAAGATCAGGACGTTAACAATAAGTAAATTCTATAAAAAAGATAAAATTTCAACAGAAGATATGCAGATACTGAAAAAAGTATATTTTGAGTTTTGCTTAGTTGGTAGATCTGCATAGATGCGTTGATGGAACAAAATTCACTTCCATTGAATACTTTAAAAATGAAGATATATTTTGATACTAACTTTTCACCACGAGGTTAGGAACTTTAATTATTTTCTTCAATCAGATTGTGAGTACTGTGTTCTAAAATTTGTTTTCAGCCTTATTTCTCGAAGAATATAAGAAAATTATGGCATCAAAATTCAGCCCGTTGTTAACGAAAATTTGCCAACCAAGCAATAATATGACTGATGATTATGAAAATATCTATCGACTCATTATTTGTGGGGCCATAATATTTTCTGGACAGGATTCTTCTAAGAGTTTAGCTGAAGTACAGGAGGTTACTTGTAAGGAAACATAAATAGATGACCAAAGACCATATGCTTTCATCAGATCTTCATTATTACTTCATTCTTATTATTTTAGCTATTGTGCAGACATATTTAACACTAGAGGATATGCAGGATTTTTGTTCCTTGCAACCTAATGTTCGAAAAGAGAAATTTTTCCACCTCATCAATCTTGTACTAGGAACTCGGGTATATAATTTCAGCCTAGGTTTTGGTGCCGTGGGCTTCGATAACTGTTCGTTTCTTCTATCTATTATCTTTTACATAAAAATTTGTATAAATGCGAATGAAGTGGCATTAAGTTTAATTATGTCTTTAGTGACTGAACTAACAGGGCAAGCTCTGGCAGCAACTGTGGTAACAATAGATGAGTATCTAAAAGAAATACGGGGTTGCGCCAATATATCTACACGTGCGTTTAGGAGAAAATTTATTATAATTACGTAATTGAGTTTTTATTGCAAAATCTCCTTAACACCCAGATCCATTATATTTATTAAATAATTACGTGGAAATATTTCTTCAATAACACTAAATAATTTTTTGTTCCAAAGTTCTCTACATTAGATTCATGATGAGTGATTGCTATGTCACGCCCCAATCACTTGAAGAAGTCGATGAGCTCGGTTTTCCTCCGAGTCTTTTAAGAAGCGTAGCTATCAACGCGAGACAGTTGATTCAGTATGTCTGTCAACTGCGTGACGAACTAGTTGAAATAGTGGATGATCACCAACGGGATGAAAGATGCTTAGATGAAATTCTTGGAGAGGTATTTAGCTGTCTCAGAGCTGGCAACAATCCCTCAAGCGCCGATCTGCAGGTAGCAATTTTTTGCCATTTGTCCCTAAAGCTCGACTTCATTCATTTAATTGCATTAATGCTTCTACTTATGTAGAAACAGATACTTGAGCTGGCAAGAGTTTGGACAAGACTCAAGGAAAATTTGGCGTATATAGCAATGATTGCAAATGTTTTGAAAAGCCTGAAAGAGTACAGTTTTGAGCCATTTATCCAACTAGGTGCATCTGAATTTCTTAAACGTTTTCTCGAGACGGATATTTCAAGCGATGATCAACAGAAGGTAAGAAAAAACTAAGTCTAGTTTAGTTACACTTTATTTAATGCTCCAAATTTTCATTTGAGATCTGCATGTCACATTCAATGGTTTATCAATAATCAACACCATTCATTCATTAGACAAACGCGTAAACTATTAACTTTATTTCTGAAGGGAGATAATAGAATATTTGTTAGCAATCCTTTGATTAATCTGTTAAATTGGTAATTTTGTTCATCTTCAAAATTAATTACCTCAGCATTGCAGTATTCAATATAGTAGCATTGTTATAGTCTTATAGTCTCCAAATATCCTCGATTTCATTTACTTCCTCCTAATTATTCAATGGAAATGGCCCACAATTTTGTTCAATTTCGCAGTTACATAAAATTAAAAACAATTAATCAATTAATATGACTATTTCATTTATCTAACGGGTATAAATCTTGTTCATCAGCAAGAAAATTGTCAACCTGCTCATCCAACAGGTAAATGATCCTTTGATCAGTGATCATCGTGCACGTCCGGTTAGGCCTAGTCAATAGGAAGGGGAGTACAAGGCCAGTTTTTCTGAGTTACCCCAGGATACTTCCTCTTTTTCCAGATCAAATACTTCTCAGTAGTTCTAGTAAGTAAGACAGTTGGCAAATGTTTCGCTTAAGAGTGTCATGAAACCTTCTGATGATATGAAAAGTATTTATTTAATGAATTGTATCTTTAATAAAATATATGACATTCAGATGGCGGATGTAATAATTTGTTTGTAATCCGGGTTTCTGTTTACGTAATCCTGGATATTGCTTCTTTTTCTAAATATATAATTCGAAAAACTTGTTCCGGGGTTTTCCGAAAGTCTGCCCATCCAAATGAGCGCCCACACACACGTATGCTCTTCTTAGGTGAAATACTTTACTTCTCTATTATCGCTCATGGGCGCTTATACTGGTAAGTGGTTATTTGGTTCCAAAAATAGTTTCGTGAAATGGAAGTTCCCGTTTAAACGCCCCGGGCGGATTTTCGGAAAACCCCAGTAATTGATATCAACCGCCATCTAATAAACTTCAAGAGAGATTTTTTAAATCAGGAGGAAATTTCAGCGAATCTTAGAGTGACCTGAATGTAACTTCTAAAGAATTCAATAACTTAAATTATAATTAAATTGATGTTCAGGTCAATAAATAAGGAATTTCTAGGCGTTTGAACCCTATCATTACTTTGCTTTTCCTTCAATGTGATGTCATAAATTTTCTCCAACAGGAGGCAATAACTCGCATTATTCCCAGAGAAGAAAACAGATCAAAATGGATCTTTCCAACAACTAGTTCTTATGGACAAATTGATCTTAACGTAAGTTTACTTTTACCAGAAATATTATTCATTAATGAAATATTTAAAATTAGGAGTAATAAATATTGAATGGTTCATTACATACTACTTATTTTTCATGTCTAGGGATTCTGTGCCTGGTCTCTTGTTCGTTATAAGGGTCTCCCAGTTCCTTGTTCTCCTAAAATAGGCGTTTTCGTGCAGGGTGGCAGAAGGTATGGATTCTCATCAGTTGCAGCCGCGAAAGCGTTTGATTTAGCACCAAATAAGTGAGTTTGATCTATTGGGAAAAGATTATCCGCCTACATGGTCCTCTGATACAATTCATATATTCTGAACAAATAGGTTCATCGATGGAATAAATGAGATAGTCCGACAAAATCCTGATCTCTTTTTGCTTTTGAAAATGCCTTCCCCATTCGAGGTTAGTAAATGAAAGTTGTTTATTTACAAATATCCAATCAAACTTATTCATAATGCAACTTTCTCTGTTTGTTTATGAATTATGCTCATATACTTCAAAATAAATTACAAGTGCTTTTGTTTGACTTTTATAAAGAAAGAGACAAGACCAGCTGACTCATTGGGGATTACCGATCAAGAAATTCAGACGGAAGTGCATCCAATTACAGTATATATTGATTCCAAGTATACTTGGGACGAGTGGGAACTCAGAAGGAGAGCTTTGCAATTGGTTTGTCTTTTATTCAATTCACATCATATCTTTCTTCTAGCTTTGTATAATAATTTTATTGCACATAGTCATGGTGATTTTAATATTATAAATACTTGGATGTTAAAATTTGGGGTTTCAACAAGTTAAACTAGCAGAAATTATTATATATTAACCGTAAGAAAGGTGACGCGATTTTACGTAATTATTGTAAAGTAAAGACCTCTGAGCTCTCGAAATTTGAACAAAATCGCCCTGTTTATCTTCTAAGAAATCAAAATGGTTTAATGCGAATAGATTTAGCCTTTGGTAGAGCCAAATTCTTAATTAAGGCCACTGTCATGACGTAAAGGGCTTGCAGGTAGACCATTGATTGCTTAAGACACCTGAACACGTATCCTTCAGTTGAAAGAGGTATGGATTTGCACTTGGCTGTCTGGCTGCACTTTCTAGAATATTTGAGCACCTGAGGTAATATTGGACATTTTCAATAGCGCTGTAAACTACACAAACCTATCTCTGCTAGTGGGTTTTCTGTTCATTAGTGATTTTACATTAAATCAATTAAAAAAAAGAGTTTCGTTGATTTCAGCTTTACATTCGCAAATGTGTAACCCATAGCATGCAAACAATGTTGAGTAACTTTCGGCGAGAAAATACGACGCAGGTCTACCTTCCAAAGTAAGCAAACAAATTTTTGAAAGCAACCTGATAAATTAGATTTATAAAAATCGCACTAACGGAAATATAATTTTAACTCTATTCACTAGGGATGAGGGTGTTCAAACGAAGCGCGATAACTATAGTCAAGTCCCAAAACCGAGTGTTTTCATTGAAGGACTACGCGGTGGCCAACCAATTGATCAGGCTAAGGGAGCCAGTGGAGTATTCCGTGGAGCACCTTATTCGAACTGGTGCACAACTATCCGCTCCACCGAGGCGACCAAAGTTGATCTTACTCTTCCTATTGAGGATCACTTTTGCGGGGAAATTAATGGTTTAAAAGTTATGATTCAAACAATAATACCTTAAGATGCTTATATAGTCTTAGATAAGTGTCATATTACCATTAATTTTTAACAATAAACGTAAATATTGTTACTCTGTAATTATCAAAAAGTTTATATTAACTGTGGGCTCTTTAATTTAGAGAAATTTTTATTAATGAATACAATAATACTTGCTAACCGTGGCAATAAGTGGTTAACAAAATTTTCATTTGACTATAATTAACATCATTGTATTTAGAAAGCGTCTAATAAATCGAGGTTTCAATTTAGAAAACAAATTTTAAACCCATTTTGAATGAGGTTTTTAGTAGGTCAGTTCTTATTCGACTGTCTTTCAGAATGGACGACTATTCTACATACTTTGGAAAATAAAGGTGTTATGCATTAAAGCAAATTCAAAGGCTTTTTTTAATTTTGCTAGATATTTATTTATTTCAAATGACAGGCTTTTTGACAGCTATCATTAGTCCCAAAGCTGACTTCTGGCTTCACATATAAGAAGAACATCAAAGTGAGAAAAATTTGAGAAGAGGAAATGAAGAGTGATTCGCAGAGGTAAACAAGACAAACAGACAGAGAAAAAGTAAGATGAGTACTGTGGAATTGGTCGAATATGACATTCAATGGGGGCCATTGTAGTTTGAAGTCAGAATTCAACTGCCTGTTTATAGACTTTTGCGCATAAGTACACATTGGAGATCAATATATCGCTCATCCCATTTCTCTATATATTGTTGCATTTCTTCTAAAAGAGCAGATTTGAGTAATCCTTTGATGGGCAGTATCCGAAAGGAACCCAATGTTCTTTGACATTTGTAACCTTGATTAAACCTAAATCACATTCTCTTGAAAAATTCTCTCAAAATTTTTGAAATACAACATAGTGCATGAAGAGTATAGTGATCATTGAAAATATGGCCACCGCCAAAATTGTTCTGGAAAAGAATACATTTAACGCAACTTCGAATGAAAATTATCCGTTGACTAGTTGAGAGGGCCACTTAGTTGAGTTTTGGGCTCTATAAATTTTATTCGCACATTTAAATAAGGGATAGGTAAAAAATTTTCCCTCTTAAGCCAGTATTGTTCAAGTTAGGAACTCATCACAGGTACATTCGGCCTAAAACGTAACTTTGTTTATTTACTTTCTACAAAGTCAACACGAATGAGCATGAGCTTAATCTATTCAAATAAATCTTTGTTTCGTAAGCAATCAAACAAAGCTCTGTAGTATTTTTAATAAGGACTGCAAGAGCAACCGTTAATAGTCCTAGTGGTAGATGTTTGGTAATATACTAATATGCGGAGCATGTGATAAAGATATATATATATATCATGTCATCATGCAAAAATTAAAGCGTATTGGAAGAATGCGAAAGTTATTGAGGAAATAGGTAGTAGAACTGGGTGAATTAGTCAGAAGATACCAAACAATAATATATGGCTCAAATATATCCAGTTAAGTGCCCTTTCAAATTGCGATTCCTTTCGATTGACTTTTCTTCATTTCGTTCATGTTATGAAAAATACGGATAACTGGTTTTCATAAGATTTTTGAGCTATCCTTTTCATTTAATTCATTTTGCGCATACATATTGAAACTGACCATTAGAAAGATCATCAATAATCGATCACTGTGCATTTATTTATAATTTCTACACACAACTTATTGCTGCAATCAACTATTCATTCAAAATATTTATTTAATGCTAAAATTTTAATTTAATTCAAAATTACTTGCACATAATCAAGTGCAAATATCAAAGATGATGTCACCAATATTTTATTACAAGGCCATTGGGCGTTCGCGAATAGTAATGCTTACGACATTTCTAGCCTTAAGTTTCCTGTGGGGTTACTTGTAAATTCGTGCTTTATCGCGAACACCTGTTGATAGAGAGGTTAATTGTACATAAGTTGCAACTCGGTCTATAATCAGCTGTTGACTGTCGGGAGGAAGACTATAGAGGTTTATTTTCATATTAATAGCAGCTTTCTTTCAATGACTACCTTTTTGTATTAATGTGGACATGAATATTAAGTAAACGTGTATTATATCACCATATTAGAGAAATTACCTCTCTTTCTTTTAGAATATGAACCGAGTTTCGTGTACTTTGCGGACGGGTGTCAGTAGTTCCCTCCTAAAAATATTTAGTAGAAGTTTTGCCGTGAAAAAGAAGCCTAATTATGAGGATCAACCTGAGAAAATTCGTAAACCTGTGCTGGTAAAAACGCTGAGAGGATTTCAATTTGCTGACGGTGACCAAGTATACAAAGGCGATATACTAGTTCGACAGGTTTGTTTTTTTGGTATTTATAATCGTTTTTCTTATTGACTTTCAAAGCTGCATAATTTTACTCTTTCTTTAGTTGGGAATGGAGTTTTATCCTGGCGAAAATGTTCGACTAAATCGGGATACATGGGATCTCGTGGCTCTGCGAAGTGGTCGATTTACCATCACAACTGAAACACTATCACCTTATCCTGATAGTCCCCTCCACTCTCTTGTCAATGAAGAGGGAAGAGTTATACAGCGACCGTTCGTTCATGTTATTGCTCATCAAACGGAACCCGTTTTCAAGCTTAAACGTTCACTCTAGTATTCCCACTGGCTGTAAATAGAGTATTGATATGCTTAAATTATCGTTTTGTCATAATTGCATTATTATTAGTAAATATTTACTAAACATATAATATATACTTATGCGTTAGGCGATACAAAGTTAGCCCTAGTGAATATACAATGGTAGAAAATTAATGTATGTGGATGAAAGATTGGACCAGAAAAGGGCTTGATGTGGGTCGGATGTGTGTATATTTCCATTGATATTGTTCAGTTAACTCTTCTAGTTGACCTACCAGTGTTGGTTAGTTAAATCCCTTGCGTTCGATTAACCAAAAGTCATATATAACACTTCGCCATTATGTCAAAGAGGATACCTGTAGATAAGCCCGCGACACCCGATTCAGCGAGTAAGCGATATACTTACCAAACCAGTCTGACTTATGAACTTTCTCTGACAGTCTGGCTAGAAGCCAGTTTAACTCAGTGGTCAACTGGTTGGCTTTAGGTACTATTGTCGACAACCCTCCCTCATCCAAATTGACCATGGTCAATAAAATAGGTAAGTCCACCCTCTATTTTCCCCAAAATTATGCTCCACTTAATCAGTATGAATAGAGCATTTCAAGATCGTACCATACCTTTCAGGTAATCGCAGTGCTTGCAGTAGGAGTTAAACCCCTAGGTACAAGTGCGACACCTAGGGTTGTCTAAATACGATTTTTTTTCATTAGCCGTAACAAATACTAGCTATCACTTGCTTTAAGGGCATGCATTTATTAGCCATTAAAGAAAGAACAGCGAACAATAACATGGGAGATCACTCAATGAGCTTCCACAAATCAGATTCGCTACAATTATTACATGTCTAAAATCAAGGATTTCATAAAAATACACAATTTTATTGAAATTTACCTCCTTTTTCTTCTCATTTTTGCTATCTCCACTCTTTGTTCGTGTCTCCATCTGCACCTCCCATTTTTC